GACTTCCCAGAACATATCGTATTCTGTACGGCATTCTGTTAGATCATTATGGCATTTTGTTAGACCACAGCTCTTCAAAGCTGTGACTGACGACTTGTATACACTGCACAGGGCCGAGTATATTGTAGGCACTAAACACTATGCAACTTTTTCCACAGTAATATTGCCAATTTGGTAACTGATTTTTTTTTTAAAAGGTATAGTCTTTTCAGTTTGTATTACAAATATTAAAACCTAGTACAAGTTCTAAAGAAAATACACTTTTAGAAGGGCATTTTGGAAACAGTAATAATATTAATAATAATAATAATTATTATTGTTATTATTATTATTAAAAAACTTAAAATAGGATTATCCTTTAATTCATAGGTGTGTTTATGTTCCATTTAATCTCTCTCATGATAAATACTTTCAATATGAAAGTCTAAAATTTAGAAGTCTTAAAAAAAATTCCCCATTATTCCTTCAGTGGCCTTCTGTACCCATCATGGCCAACTCGCTGTTAGCACCAAACAGAAAAAAATACATCGCAGAACCTTGGGGATTTCCAGTGTTTTGAAATACTACTACTACTACTACTAAAATGCTTAGACTGTGTTTAACAGTGCCCCATCATCACATGGAGACAGATTATGGCAGAGAGGTTCCCCCCCCCCCCCCCTGCCACTACAGAGTAGAAGATTCTCCTTTCCAAATGCAAAACTGCAACATTTCATGCTGCCATTAGATTAGAAAGACACAAGTCAAGATTCATATTTGGATTTTCTTCGTGGAAGAGCATGCCCCAACTACCAGTCTACCGCCAAAACCTGAGACACTTTTATAAAAGCTGTTTAAACAGCTGTTATTCAGTGACAATTTACACCTTTCACTTTAAATTTAAAATCATAACCCTGGAATTTACCTGAACTGTGAGGTCAGACATCTGTTTTAATATATCCTCAAAATGATCTGCTGGGAGCTCTGAAGATAACCCTACCCTCTCATGGGATCCTGGCACCTGCAACATTATATGAGGGAACAGTAAGAGATTTCTGGAATGTTTACGCCACAAAGGGAAACTCCTGCAAAGAGTTTCACCCAGTAATTTATGCACTGGATGGAATTACTTTGCCTATTAAGTAAAATCAATCTTACAATCTATTGGTAAACAATCTATTGTGCCAGCAAAGGTAATCCACTGTAGTCAAAACAGGATTCTTCCTGACCACAGGAGTCTGTCAATGCACAGTACATTACAAAACTGGGTTCTGCTTGAATACTACTGAGCTCAGGTCAGGTCTTGGTGGTTAGAAAGGCAGGTGGGTCTTGTTTCCTTAAGATACTACTCCAATGCCCACTTGCTTTTGCAAGTTCAAATTATTCAACTTCAAACTTCCAATCCCCGGATACAGTTATATTTTTATCTGCTAGACAAAAGGACTTTTTAATATTAGACCTTCTGTCTCTACAAATTCTCACAGATCAGTCATATCACCTTCTCTCCAATCATCTAATAGATGGGAGTTCTTTATCTCTCTCATTGTAAAGACATATTTTTAGACCAATCATTTTGGTATATTTTCTGAACTCTTTCCATATTTTTAAAGGGGAGCCAAGCTGTAAATAGTGGTCCTACAACAATACTACTTTTGAATCTGGTGCTGGCGAGACTGCTTTTCTATTCCATATGATTTAAAAGATCATCTTTAAAAAAAAAAAAAAGGCCTACTATCTGTGTTTCTAAATGTATGACCTGATCTTATATTTGGCTGTACTGAAATGAATATTCTTCTGTCCAGTTTACCAACCATTCAGATAACTTAGTAAGATAAGTCCCCCAAAGTCATATTTTTAGGCAGTGACAATATGTAACTTTCATTATTGGTTTAAAAAACACAGCCCTAGAGTTTACCTGGATTCTTAGATCAGACATCTGTTTTAACAGATCTTCAAAGAGCTCTCTGTCAGCTGCTGGGAGTTCTGAAGACAACACTACACCCACATGCGATCCTGGCACCTGTGACATCATGTCAGGGAACATGTAGACTCCAGAATTGCAGCAGAGAACAGGAGACTGATCACACATAAGCGGATATAGCCAGTCACAAACCTGCAAGGGACAAGAACATAAAGGAATGTGTATACTGGTCCACACCTTTTTCAATGAGTCAGACGTAACAGTAGACTAAAATATATAAAAACTAATTTTATGAAAGCAAGCTAGCAAAAATAAAGAGAGGAACAGAAAGAACCATATGAACCTAAAAACTGCATTGTTGGGGACATCATTCCTGATAAACAACCAAAGATGTATACGGAAAAAGATCAAGCTAGCTTTTACAGGACAATGTTCTAGCACTGCAGCCTTTTAAGTGAGACCCCCTCTACACAAGCAGGGAAAGGGACAGGGACAATTGAATCTAGTGTGTGATCCAAGCAATTGTGCTTCCTCCCATGCCACATGCAAATCAAAGCTGGAGAGAAACCAGTTCAAGTTATTACCTGGGATCCTGGTTTTCTCTGATTTAAAAAAATCCCCAATTTTCAGTTAAAAAAAGTAACCCCAAATCTACATTTTTCTAGGACTAAAATGAAACACTATATACATATATGGATATTAGTGGTGTTACATTTAAATCACAGAAAAAAATGTGAATTTGGGGTTACTTCTTTTTAACCAAAAGTTGGGGATTTAAAAAAAAAAAAAAAAACAAAAAAATCAGGATCCCTGGTCATTACACATTTTTAAGCAATAACTTTAAGGTGCATTAATTTGCACATGTAGCCAGTCTACATTTATGATGCAATTACTAGGCCTGTGCAAAGCAGCAAACATTCACTTTGGATTCAGATTTGGCCAATTCAGAGGGACAGCGATTTGATTTGGCCAAATCGAATCCGAAGATTCGGAGCCACTTCAGAGATTTGACAGATTCAACTATAGACTAAGCAGGCAGTAGTCCTTGACAATGGACACAACTGCTTCCACTGGCAAGTCTGTTGTGGTGGGCAGAACGGGGAGGGAAGTTGGGGGGGGCGGGGGGAGAGAGGTTTCACCTTTTATTGACATTTCTAATTTCTACCACCCTTTTTCATAGGTGCCCATCTTATATTTCTGTTCCTACTCCATAATTTAAAAGATTTATGTAATGTAGCATTTATCTCCATGACTAGTTTATTTACAGATCAGTTTCAGTAATCTAGAAAGTTTTCTTCCTAGAGAGAAATTTTAAATCTTTGTTTCAGAGGGAACACCTGCATAAAGGCTGGAGGATCGGGCCCTTTCTTTAATATATCTCTCAGTACTTATTTCCAGAAACATATTTTAAAGCCAAATTTTCCCCCCACCTGGCCAACCCACCCAGGCATTTAAAGTGAAAAATGAAGTCT